GGGAAAAGAAATAAAAGAAAACAAGAAAAGGAAAAATCCGGAGCAGGGACAGGACCCAGAGAATAGAAAACTGTGACCGGCAGGTATATCCAGGATGAATCAGCATGCTCTCCCCATCAAGGGGCTCACAGAGTGGGGTGACAGAGGGCGTTGAGATGCTCCCACTCAGCATGTTTATCCTACATCCTCCCCTCCCTGTTTTATCTGAATTCTGGCTAGCCCAGCTTTTGCCTGGGATCAGGAATCTGATTGGGAAGTAGTTTGTGCAGGCTCAGCTGATGCCTGAGGTCAGCTTGCTTGTTCCAGGAAAGGGTCCAGAGGGTCAGCTGGAGACAGAGTGGGTGGTTATGGAAGGAGTTCTTGCCCACTCGGGATGGCCAGTGACCAGCCACCTGTCCGGCACTGCACTTTCTGCTCTTCTCTCTCACGCATACAAATCTGTATTTTTCCTTCCTTTGCAACTAAGGATGACCATGCGATGTATGTTGGTGTAGGTGCCGTTGAGTCTGTTCTGACTCATAGGGACCCTATCTACAACCGAAGGAAAAAACCCCTGGCGCTCACTTCAGCAGCACATGTACTAAAATTGGAATGAGCGAGAGATGATTAGCATGGCCCTTGTGCAAGGATGACTCACAAATTTGTGAAGCATTCCATATATGAAGTAAAGCTTTGGCTAATGAGATGTGAGACAGAATTACTGGACAGTGCTTCTGAGAAAGCATCTGAAGCAGAAGTAGATTCAATAACTGAATGCCCTTTGGCCTCCACTCATCTGATTCCTCTTGTCTGAATTTCAGATGCTAGGGTAGAAGACCTAGTGGCCTAGTGGTTTCAAGTTGGGCTGTTATATTGAAGGTCAGCACTTCAAACCACCCTGCAGAAGAAAGATGGGCTTTCTACTCCATATTATATACACTCCAAGATACTCACAGGGTCAGGTGCCCTCTAGGGTCGCTATGAGTTACATTTGAATGATGGCAGTGAGAGAGGGTAGGACAGTCACCTTGAGAGCACAGGACAACAAGCATGAGGCCACATTGCCCATTAAGGAAACAGAAATATAGGAGACTGACCTTTGATGACATGCTAAAGCTGCCATATAACCCCGGACTGCTTGTTTTTGGATTTTGTGTGTGTGTAATCATAATCCAACTTTTTGGTTACATAACTGCATGCTGAATTTTGATTATATTCTACCAATTTTTTCTAATTGTTTCAGATTAAATAGGAGGTGTGATAATTACATAATTTTGTGTCAACTTGATAAATATGTGCAGAGGTGGAGTCTACCCTGTCAGTCAGGTTACAGCCTGATGATGCCTCCTTATGGACGTGGCCTTCTCATGAGGCTTCTGGGAACTTCCTCTCTCTTCTTCACCTTCCTGTTGAAGAGCTGGAGGTGAGAGCTGGAGGACCCACGTGGGGACCTGTGCCAATGCTGCTATGCTTCCACCACCATTGGATCCACAAGACTTTGCACCCACTCGCCTGTGGTCTTCCTGCATTCTCCATCATTGCATGTATCTGGACGAGTCTGAAGAGGGGTTTATGGACTGGTATTCGGCTTATTGGCTATTATTGGATTTATGGACTTGATCTGGACTGGGCTAAGACATTTTCTTAATATACAATTACTCTTTGATATATAGCTCTTTCATACACATATAGGAGTGTCTCTGGATTTGTTTCTCTAGTCAACCCAGTCTAACACATTATGCCATCTTGGGAAGGGCTTTCTGGAGAAACAAGTCATAAAGATGAAGAGTGGGTGCTTGTTTGATCTCTGCCTCATGATAGTTTTCTTTTGGTTAGCTGGATGTCAGATCAGGCCATAATGGTTACTCTATTGTTTTCTGGAAAGGACATGGGAATTTCACATTTTGATTCTTTTCTTTGGTTATTGTTGTTGGTTATTCCTGTTTGCAATGGCAAAAATGAATGTGATAAATGTAAATTTTAAGTTCAGGGTGAAAAATGGCCCCCAAACCTCTATCTGGCAGAGACCCTGCTGCCTAGACAAGATGGCCCACAGAAGGCCTGGCCCTGGCTTGAGGCAATGCCTCCAGAGGCATAAGCCCATATTGATTATGGATGAGATAGTTTAGATAAGGATTGAATTTGACTTTTAAGAATTGAGTTTAGGATCTGACTGTACTAGGTTTATACTGTTTTCTTATGCCTATTGTTACTGATATAATGTGTAATAGAAATGATTATTGGGAAATAAAAATAGAGTTTGTAAGTCTACTTGCCTTCAGACATTAAATTGGATCTTTAAATGGGTATAGGACATGCTGGCAAAAAAGGCTCTGAAAAGATTAGCCCCACCCAGTGCTTTGAGTGCTTTGGACATTTGCATTTGAAAAAACTTGCTGAGAGGGCTGTTGACAGACTGAAGGGGGAAAAAAGGAACCCTTTGGCTTTTTGAATTTTGAACTAGTGGTTTGTGCTGGTGAAGAAATCTGGAGCCATGAAAGAACTCTCCTTTCTAGGACTGAATGCTACAGGGAGCCTGTGGACAGCCTGAAATGCTTGCTAGGTGACCACCTGGATCCACTTGTTGAGTAAAAGTGGGGCAAATACAGCAATAAAGAGAAGGGTTGAATCTGGCCACTGACACCCATGCACCTGGTTCACAGGGACTAGAGGAGAAGATGATACGGAGTTGGCTGGTCTGAAGTTTAAAGAGTTGTGTGGAACATGACCTAGCCCAAGGGGGCTAGGGTTGTTGAGAATTTGTATGACTGGGCTCCTGGTTGAAAGGTGAGGTGGCCAATGAGCACCCTGGTGAGGCTAAGTGAGGTAGCCCACACTAAGTTGACCAGAACCTGACTAGATGAAGATAAGATTTTTGAGCCTGTGAATTTGTGTAGATTGCTGCTGAATTTATGGACATCCTGTCTTGATTTGACTTTGCTAATGAATGTGAACTCACAAGGTTCCAATTGGAATGAAAATTCTTCACATCAAAGGACATGCTTGTCTTTTGAGAGCACTTGCTTGATATTGGATATCCAAAATAGGGAAGATAAAGGCATGAGGTGGCTGGTTTATAAGCTTTCATGGATGGGGGATATATTCGTAGGATTATAGGATTATGGTGTAAGTGTTCACATAATTGCAATTCTTTTTTTTTTTTCTCTGAAAAAAAATCATTTTATTGGGGGCTCATACAACTCTTTTTTTTTTTTTAACATTTTATTAGGGGCTCATACAACTGTTATCCCAATCCATACACACATCAATTGTGTAAAGCGCATTTGTACATCATTTCTCAAAACATTTTCTCTCCACTTAAACCCCCAACATTAGGTCCTCATTTTTCCCCTCCCTCCCCGCTCCCCCCTCCCTCATGAGCCCTTGATAGTTTATAAATGGGTATTTTGTCATATTTTGCAATTCTTAAGTATAGAATGTTTTTGTTTTGTTTGCTTATAGAATATAGTGTTTAAATGAGGCTGGCAGATTTTGAGTTGTATGCATTTTAGTTTTATCCTGTTAGGCACAGGTATGATTTCATTATTGTTTTGTTTAAAAATTATATATGGCTAAACTGTTGTGTAAAGGTGTCAAGTTGACAAGGGGTGGTCTGTGGTAGTTACATAATTTCATGTTACCTTGATAAATAAGTGTAGGGGTAGAGTCTAACCTATCAGTTAGGGCACAGCCTGATGATGCCTCCTGTGGGTGTGGTCTTCTCATGAGGATTCTGGGAATTTCCTCTCTCTCTGCTTCACATTCCTGTTGAAGAGCCACACTTGGAGAGCTGGAGGACCCATGTGGAGACCTATGCCAGTGCTGAGATGCTTCCAATGCCATTGGGTCCACAAGACTTTTGCACCCACTGGCCTGTGATCTTTGTGTAGTTTACGTTATGTGACTGCTTGAGTCTGAAGAGGGATTTATGGACTAGTATTGGATTTAGGGGCTAATATCGAACTTATGGAGTTGATCTGGACTGACCTAGGATATTTTCTCAATGTAAAATTACTCTTTAATAAAAAGCTTTCTCTTATACATATATGAATGTCCCTGGATTTGTTTCTCTAGTCAACCCGGCCTAACACAGGGGGAAGTCCCAAGAGGGAGAAACTGTGATGATCCCGAGTCTTCCCCCTCTTCTCAGATCAACTATTTAATTAAAACACTGCATGAGAAGCAGTTTTTAAATGGGGGTGGTGTGTGTATACATATGTATTTTATCTCTGCATGCCTGTATGTATGTAAGACAGTGAGAGACAGATAAAGAGATGGGATCCAAAAATTCAAGACTTCAGTTTTGGATATGTTAGACTTTAGTTATCTGCAAGATATCCAAGTGCTGATGTTAACCATGTAGTTGGTTCTACGACCCTTTCCTTCAAAAAAGAGGCTGAATTAGAGATAGAAAGCTGGCAGTTGTCTGCAGAGAGAGGGCATTTAAAGTCATGCAAATGGCTGGTCTTTTCCAGACAAGCAAAGTAGATATCCAAGGGAAAAGGGCCCATGGCTAGACCAGAGCACATCAACATTTAGAGGGGCTGTAAAAGAGATAGGAAAAGAGGGAGAACCAGGAGGGAAGCGTGATGTCAAATAGTGCCTGCATCCTTTTGGACCGATCCCTCTTTTCCACAGTGTATTTAGGGTCAGTGGCCCCCTTCTGGCAGTTTACGCACTCTGCTTGGCGATGCTGTTCACCTTCTGGTGTGTAGCCCCCTCTCCTTCTGTGATGAGACTTTGCCCTTTAGGGTCTGGTATCATGTCTTATGCTTAAAATTCTCCACACCAGGCACAGTACTTTACCCTGAAGTGATGCTTCACGAAGTTCTTGCCAGTGACTGTCTGTGCCCACTGGGGTCAGGGAAGAAAAGGAAGATGCTTTGAAAGAGAACGCTGGTTTGAGAAACTGGACATTTGGAAAGTGTAAGAAAGCCCAGGATGAAAGGATTCATTGAACAACGGAATGAAATACACTGGCTGAAGGGAAGCCTTTAAAGAAAGATTCTAAGGGCACAGGCCATAAGTCCTATAAAAAGCCACAAAGATTAAGAAAAACATGTGCTGACTCTAACAGAATTCCATTGAACCAGGGTTCAGGTGAGTCCAGGTTCTGGTGGAGAAAGATCACAGACAGAAACATGGAGGGCTTTTGTGGGAAAGTGTGCAGGAAAGCACAGAGTGTTCCCAGGGTTGCGATGAGCCCAGGATGCCTGCTGAGGTGAAAGACCGAGGGAGGAACTGTGAAATTCTGGTTCCATATTAATGTATAGTCAAGGCACGGCTGGATCCTAGAGCTTTCCTTCTGTGGCCTTCACCATGAATTACTGATGGGCAATCATCGAGGTCTGGGTTGTGGGGGGGACAGAAGCGTGGCCCTGGGCTAGAAAGCGAAACTCCTGGTCACTCATTCATTCATTTACATTTGATATACAATTGCTATATGCTAAGAGCAGGGGATACAGTTGTGCCGCAACAAAAACAAATACAAATCCTGCTTTCATAGCGCATATGTTCTAGTGAGGATGGGCTGTGTGTCTGTGAGAACAAGAACAGGAAAAATTAATGAACAAGGTAATTTTATTTAGTGACAAGAACTTACGAAGAAAATCAGGAGGTGGAACATGCTAGAGCTAGACTTCCCCATGGAGCCCTGGTGGTGTAGTGGGCCAGTACTGGGCTGC